TTTAAGACATGAGTTGTAAGAAATTGACCAATCATGATTGGTTTTTAGAAGAATAATTGACTGTGGTTGTTCAATTTCTTACGGCATACGTCTTAAAGCAAGATTGTGGACAAGGGCTTAAAGACGCCTAAAAGGCGTCTTATTTTTTTTAAACGTCTTTTGGACGTCTTTAAGACATCTTTTAGTAATTTGTGCTTTGTCTGGATCTCTCGGTAGTCTCTGAATGCAAAAAGAAATAGTTTTAACTAACAGTAAAATTTGAAGAGGCAAATAGTTTTCCTCGAACCAAGCTTCAGGCGAATGAACAAACAACGAAATCATATTTCTCGTTTAATTTCCAGTAGACCGTTAAATGTTTCCTCGATCATTTCAGGCGCAACAATCCGTCGCGAACTAATTTCCTTCTGAGACTGACGGGAAAAGTCGCGGTCATCGTTGCTCGACAACTAATTAAACGCGAGGCGAAACGTTTCTTTCGCGCAAACGAGACCTCTTTCTCGGGATAACCTTAAATTCGGTCTGTCGGGCTGTCCGTTCGTCCGCGGCCGATAACGCCGGAGCATTATAAATTTAAGCGCTTTTAGCGAAAGCTACGTCAGGTCACAGCCGTTTCGCACGCAAGCTGCACTTTGCATGCCGCATTCCGGACGGCTTGCCACCCTTGTTTGAGCTGGCCGAGTGGTGTTGCGCTCAAAGTCCGAATGCATAATTAATCGGGTTATCAATTAAAGGCGCGCCGGCGATTCGTAACCGCTCTCTCTATGACCATCGACTCCTCGATTATCGACTCGCCATAATGTGCACTGGTATAAATAACCGATTCACGCTAGCACTAATTAATAAGTAATTAAATTCGACTGATTTCGGATGAATGTGCCGTTCAAATTAATTCCACAGCATGAAATCGACACTTTTATATTTCACCTTTAAGCATTTATTTATTTCGGTAACGTAATCTTGAATTAAAATCTTTTAGTGAAGTAACACACTCATCCGGAAATTAAGGATGAGTTGGGCGTTTAAAAAATATTAATTTGAACATTTGCATGAGAGCGAATTATATTTTCAATCATTTATTGCTCAAAAATTATTAATATTACGGTATTGATACAATTACCATTATTACCGGTTTGGTTTCTAATATCGTTAAAATATATCGATACAGGACATTTTCTCTGAATGAAGTAATGCGATGCGTATTTATATTGCAGCAAAAATGATTCGATCCGCTATCGGGCAATAATCCAAAATATACATATACAATGCCGCGTAACCCAACGCGTTTATATGTAAAGATTAAATTATTAATTGATCTGTTGTGCTTCGTATGGCCTATTATAACATTTGACAGGTAATAAAGAGTAATAATAATCACGGCGTAGCGAACCAAACAACAGATAATCCGAAATAAATCCGCAATCGACATTAATTCTGACTCTACAAAAATATTTGTATCGCTTTCCAATGGCTTGCGAAAATTTGCACAAATTATAAACGGGATTGAAACTGTCACGAAAATATAATCCCTCTAAGTGCGGATAAAAGGCACTACACTTAGGGATAATAACAATTGAATGCACGTTATAGAAAATAGAATGCCTCTATGAAGCTTGCATGCAAAATGAAAACACGTAAATATACTTTAATTTAACAGAAGAACAGTGCGGGCATCATATAACTAATAGAAATAATAAGCTATATATAATTATATAATAGAAATAATAAAGCACGATTAGTTATATATTTTTTTATAAATAAATAATTAATAGAATTACTAACAAAAGTAACGTTTGCATAAAACTTTGGCTTGTCAGCGATCGAAAAATAAGAGAAAATAAGGTTATTAATAAATATCAATAGTAATTCTAAGGAGATATTAGACAATGTAATTGAACCGAAAAATGAATCATGTCTTAGTTACACCGAATAACACAAACTCAATGATTGCGTTTATTAAGTAATATTACCAAATTAGAATACAAACAAATATCTTTTAACAAAATTTCAAAAGCTGTTTTAGAAATATCAAGTATAAATATATCATTAACGCGCGCGCATTTCAATCATTAGGACGTTGTTCAATTACTGGGATATTTACTTTGCGTGTAATAAAAGAAAGCAAATCTCAAATAAAACAGGACAAAGAGAGAAAAGAGAGAGAGAGAGAGAGAGAGAGAGAGAGAGAGAGAGAGAGAGAGAGAGACAGAGACAGAGAGAGAGAGAGAGAATACGTCCAAGACTACGTCCATTACTACGCATTTCGTAAGAGTAAAGTTGTAGAGATGCTGTATTTACTTTAATTGAATTACTCACTAATTTTTCCACGATACTATTTTCTTTCTTGTTGGTTATGTCACTTGTCACTCGCGCATTACGCGGATACACACTGCGAATCGAGGAATAGGCGACTAATAACGATATTAATAACTGGCTAATAGTCAGTGCGATATTTCTCGATCGTACGTATACTTTCTATGACGTTCGTTGTAATCCGAAACTAAAGATGGAACAAGATGGATCTAACAAGCCGCGCTGGAAGTCTGTGTCACACGTACATGATTGCGAATCAGATAGGGAACACGACGTTGAAAGTGCGCGCTCTCCAACAGAGGCGCCCTCTTACACGATTCCGACAGGTTAAATACCGACGCAGGATACACGGATTTATCGACGGGCAATTTTGTTAGCTAACGAAGGCAGATTGGAACACGCTAGAGGATAAAATTTCAATATCTTCCTTCACGAAATTCAATAATAATTTTATTCATATTAGGTATTTTAAAATCACTGATAGCTCTGGTACGTTTCGTCTTTATATACTTGACTTACCCTGGGAAAAATATTATATATAATTATATAAAAAATTTCTATATATAATTATACATATATGTATATGTGTGTGTGTGTGTAAATTCTTTGTCCCTATATGGTCACATATATAATCATATATAATTCTTTATACAGCACAAAATCTCCTGGGGATATCCCACAGATGTGCTGAGGACGTAGAAACGTCTCCAGGACGTTCTCAGGACGTACTCTGGACATCTCTTGGATATTTGTGCTATAGGGTGGATTGTATTTGTGTAAGTTTTTTTTCGTGAATATATATAATTGTGCACGATTATATATAACTATACAGTGAGACGCAAAATTCATATATGATTTTTTATCTTTCAGTTTTGATAAAGTACGGCGGAATATGAAACTGTTTTCACACATACACAAGCCCGAAAACGCTACGAATCTCTCGATTTGTGAATTGATACTATCCCCAGATAGCATAAATAATTCAAAAAAAATTTAGTCGCATATCACTAATTCTGAGTTTATTTTTAAAAAGAATTCTTTTCATTGAACTGAACTCTGAAGAATTCTTTTTGTATCTGAAAATGAACTCAAAATTGGTGACTTACAATTTTTTTTTAATTTTTTTTTAATTCTCTGTGCTAATTATTATCTCTGGGATAATTATTTGCGTCAAGCACACTTGAAATTCTACGTTCTATTATTGTTTTATCGTTGATATTATTCTATTATTACATCATATATATCCTCTGTTATATATTCTCCTATATTCATAGATATATAATCAGAGATGTCGCGACGTTTACAGTTTTCATCGAATAGCTCTTATCTTATCGTTATTAATAAAGTATATAACAGAGATAAATAACATAAATAACAGAGATAAATGTTCCGATATTATTGTATGATTCACTGTTGCATTTATTTCACCACTTGACAATTAGAGCCTCATCACTTGCGGATCTAAATCAGGTTGCGTGATGCTTTCTTCCCGCTTGATTATTCGGTTTACAATGTTGGTCAATATAAGTAAAAGTAGACTACACACTAGACAAATAATCACAATTTCACTTTATGATACTCATATGAACAATCCAGAATCGAGAACATCGTTACCTGATAATGGTGATGAGGAGTGTTATGTTGACGAGATAATTGGCGCGCATCCACCATCAGAAACATGCCGAACGCTTTATCCTTTCGATGGTAAGAAAGTAGAGAGAAAGCGGAATGTTTCTCGAAAACTTCCAGATATATAATTTAAGAGAAAAGAAGAATATATAATACAAATATTCATATAGTCCAAAAATATTACACCAACATTAAATTCAAAAAACTTTTAACTATGTCGCTAGAGATGATAGCGATATTATCATGACTTTAAAGTGTTACCTTCTGGGACTTGTAATAAATCTTAAACCCAAACATTGCTGTAAGGTTTTCTTAGTTAATTCAAGATTGCCCTGCAATTAAATTAATATCATTTTGATATTCATCAAAATATAACTACCTTATCATCTTAAGCTTCGATAGTATCAGCGCTGTCCTTTGATAAAGAAAATCACTACAATATTGTATTTCTATGCAAAAAAAAATTTATTTACTGAGATACAACAACATTTTAGTAATAATAACATTAGCTTTGATTCTATGTGGGTAGTCGTTTTATTTTTACTATTACACACAATTATCAGTAAGTAAGCACATACACGTTTTAGAAATGTTTTATAAACGTTAGAACTAAACATTTTATAACCATTTCCAAAACGTTTCATGACATTTCTGAAACGTTCCACATGAGTAAAAATGTCCACTCAAAAAACGTTATTTTTGCGAAAGAAATCGTTAAAAAAACGTTTTAAAACGTTTTATAAACGTCTCATAAATAAAGTTTTAGAAAGGTTTTTGTTAAAAATGTTATTATTACTAAAATGTTGCTGTATCTCAATAAATTAACTTTTTTTGCATAGAAATACGTTTCTTAATAGTGTTTTACGGTTCGGAAACTATAGATACATTTAAGAAAAGTTTCTAATATGTGTATGTGTTATTTGGGTATAGAAATAATTCAGTTATAAAAAAATAATTCAGGATATATAAATAATAATTTTTATTCCAAGGTAACATTAATTTTTTTGCAAATAAAGTTACCGTAGATAGGAGATATATTGGCGGTAATAAAATACAACGCATTTAAATAAATTCTACGAATTTTTTATTAACTTAGTTGCTCATTTCTGGTAGGAAAGTGAAACATCACATTATATCGCTATTCTTCAGCGTTTTCATCGCTAAGCTCATTAAGCATGGAATTTCACTGTAATAATAAGGTACACTGAATGTTGCCTATCTGTTGGATCTGCTGCATCGCATTGAAGGCCTATTACCATTGTCAATGTAGATTATAGGGTGCCTTCGTCACGGTTACTAATTAACAGGTGCAAGGCTTGCACGAGCATTGTCCGCCCGTCTTGCAGCCGCATTTATCTGTAAAAAGAAAGACAATTTATTTACACAGAATCCTCTAAAGCTTCTGTCTTATTGCGCCTATCGTGTGAGAAAAAGACGTGAACAGCGTAATTTAGTCGTGCTAATAGCGCAATACAATTATACGAGTTAGCGGTACACACATTTAATCATTGCGCGTAAATTTCAAAAATATCCAGGATTCACTCCAAGAGTGAAGAAAGAGCGGAGAGAATGAGTCGGCGCGAAAGAAGCGTGAACGAAAGAGGAATGCATCCCGGGAAATCATTGTTCATTTCATTATGAGCAATAATCGAAACGACCGTCGAAGTTCCGAGAAAAACATGACGCGCAATTCCACTACAGCGGAATGTGCCGCGGAATTACGACGCAAACGGTGCTAAACGGTACGACGAACAGGCGTTGGCTGCAGCCGTTATTACTCGGTCATTGCACGGTATAACATAAAAGTAGTACAGTCGCTCTCGTTCTTGATAGTCGATACGCTCAACTTTGTAAGAGGGAGACACACAGAGAGAGAGAGAGAGAGAGAGAGAGAGAGAGAGAGAGAGAGAGAGAGAGAAGGAAAGAGAGAGAGAGAGAGAGGGAGGGAGAACCTTGCAATTGATAACGATTAAAAATAATGGATCGTTAGGGGCGTTGGCGATAAAATATAGGACGAATTTCTCGCGACGAGAAATGAAAAATAAATTGACATGATCGTGGAAGCAAACAATACGGGCTGTTAATTTCTGACGTAAATGTAAGCGCTGTCAATTTCTGACGTAAATGTAAGCGTAATTACCTTTGCATCCAGAATCACAGCACGAGCAGCTGTCACCGCACTTACAGTCCTTGCACTTGTCTGTGAATAATATGAAAATTATTACTTATTAGATACGTTTCCAAACAGCACATGTACATCCAAAGGATGTACTTAGGACGTATTTAGGACGTAAGGACGTTTTTATGATGATTTTAGGACGTCTTTTGGATATCTGTGCTGTCTGGATTACAAATGTTCGTATTGCTTATTACAGATACATTACAAATATATATATATATATATATATATATATATATATATATATATATATATATATATAT